GATTCATGATCAGTGAAAACCTTGCTTGGGATCCTCTTGACTATATTATTCATTTCCCTCCTTCTTTACTGCAAGTCTATTTACATAGTGAATCAATGGAGACACCACCATGTTGGGTGTTCTTCTTTCACCTCTATGACCTGAATTGCAACTGTTTACAGATGGTCCTCTTATGGGTTGAGGAGCGAATATCTGTGGATTCTCAAGAAATATCAGGTCACTTATCTTCAGTCGATATGGCAGTGCACATCAAAATCTTAGAACTTCTTGCTATCCATCAGGCTTTGGATTGATTCTTACTTTTAGTATGAGGCAAATTGATCATTATCCATTCCAACAATTTGACTGTTGTTTCATACATCAATCGATGAGGTGGCATCTGTTCATGTTCAGTTTGTTTTTGAATGTTAGTCATATCATACATGCTTAGTAGTGTGTCATATTCCAGGTGCATTTAATCTTGTCACAGATTAATTATTTCATCTCAACAGATCCTTCCCATGGAGTAGTTCCTCAATTCCCAAGTTTTCTTGTTGTTATGCAATCAGTGGGGTACTTCATGTCTGGACACATTTTCCACCTATCTCAATAACAAATTTCCCCTTTTTTGGTCCCCTGTACCTCATCCTTTGGCAGTAGATGCCTTCAGTCAGGATTGGACCAACCTTCACCAGTATCCCTACCTTCCTGTCTTTCTTCTTCCCAGGGTTTTCTCTATCATTCATTCCACTCCATGACATGTCCTTTTGATAGCACCTTTCTGGCCAGCACAAGCTTTGTTTCCAGTCCTTTCCCTCCTTCAGACAGCACCCTCGTTACCACTTTCTCTCTCCCAATCCCTCCTCCATCAACCTCAGTTGTTGGTGTTTCATCCCACAATCACTACACTCCAATTTCATGTGTTGCTTTTGTCTGGTCCATTGCGAGTTGGTACAGACTATCCACATGTGTATCTTCCATTCTGTTCATCCATCTTTCCTCGTGGTATATAAGAGAAAGTTATGTGTTTTTCAATGTCAGTCTGTGCACCATGATTGCCTTCCTTCCCATCCAAATATTATTCATGTCTGAGAACTTCTTACCTGGCTGTTCTTTTGTTCCTTAGATTGTATAAATCAGGAGTGGTTTTCTTTTGAAAATATGGTTTTGTGATAACCCATTGCACAGTCTCTAATGTAGTATTTGTCCAGACTCTCAATCATGGTTCTCCTCTTTTAAATTGGATTATGGAAGTCCCCACTACTTACCAGTTCCTAGCTGCTGGATTGGTGGACCATGGAGGCTTCCTCCTGAATGTGCTCAATCCCATTCAGTTAAGAGCAGAGTGACGATGTTCTGTTGATGTAGAAGGTATAGAGCCCTCCTCCAACTACAAACTGGAAGAAAAATACCGAAACCAAACTGGACATGGACTGGAGTTGATCTACTTAAATGCAAATCACCCCTCTAGCTGGGTAATCCCCATCCTACCTTCCCTTGCAGGTCACTTGCTAGAGGATCTGGTTTGGAAAAAAGCCGGACCAGGCAGGATATTCTGGCCAGCTGGAGAACCCCAATCTTACTATCCCCGGGACATCTGTTCCTGGGAAGTCTAGTTGGGATTGGGTGAATCCCCAGGTTGCACTTCCTTTCATGCTTTGATGTCAGGTTCCCATGTGACTCATTTTGATTATAGGTCTGCAAACATGTGCCCTGACTAACAAGACAGAATGTAACATTTTTCTCTTCTATTTCCTGGTCTTGGGGCAAAGACAGTAGGGATCCTCCTCATACTGCAGACCAGACTGGAGTTGACTTGTGGTGTGAGTAGGGTTTGATGCACCCTAGTCATTCTATACCATAACTGCTGAAAATATATTTCCAATGGACACTTACATCTCCTCACACTTCCTATCTATTCTCTCCACTTCCGGTTCTTCTTTTCTGCCTAATCTCAAAGTGAAGATTCAGTTCTACAGTACAGAGGGAACAAACTAAGATAGGAGAGTGTGTCATTGTTCTATTGGTGGAGGTTTGTATCATACGTATTTGCATGCTACAATGCTGCTGAACCATGTTGTAATGTGGAGTAGGTGGGGGTTAGGAGTTAGTAGTGAGCAAACAGATTTGTGCTTATAGAGGGCAGCACTGAATGAGAAAAGCTATTATGTGATGGAAGGTAAGTATCTATCACAAATATTTTTCAGTGTATAAAAATATTAATTTTCAAGTTAGTAAACTGTACAGACTTTATATGTATGTACTGAAATTTCTACTGTAATGATTAAATAGTTTTTTTATTAACCTTTTAATTTCAGAACACATTTGTCAGGGTACAGTCAGATGAACCTGGTGATACACATCAAGATAAGGTTATTTCTGAGTTGAGTGAGAATGATGATAATGACTCTAAAGATGATGTTTTGAGTGTGACAAATAGAAAGGAAACACAAGATGATCATCAACAAGTTGGCTGTGGGTCAGAAACTTTCCCTGGTAAATAAAACATCTCCAAAATAATTCATGAAATCATTACTACTGGTTAAGATGAGATAGTGCTACATTTAGTTAAGTGTTAGTTAAAATTTGAAGTGTATAAATAAGGTTGTTAAAATTATATATCCTTACATTGTATTGGTTAGTAGCTTATACAATCACCTATGTCTAATTATTAATTAGTTACTGTTTTTAATTATTAATAGACAGTAATTACTAAGTAGTTTAATATTACATTCCAGCTGCTAATCTACTGCTTTAATTTAACCAGAAGTTGATCTTAGAAAGTCTGGTCTGCATATCTGGTGTCTTCCCCATTAGAACTTGAATGAATTAACTATTTGAATGTTCTCAAGAGGTTCTGTCCTAGGATGGTGTTATTAGTTGAATAATGAAGGTTTTCTTTTATGTTTGCTAGATTTCCAGCACTGATATGTTTCTTTACTTTAAGTAATTAAATAAGTACAAAGCTATTAAAATAATATAGTCATTAAATACCAAAACATTGAGCTCATGCTTAGTTCTGTTCAAAACATTTATGATGGACAAACAGTTACTACATT